ATATATATATATATATATCAGCTGACAAATTTTATATTTGTATTAATCATATATATATATATATATATATATATATATATATATATATATATATATATATATATATATATATATCTATATTTCTGAGATGAGGTAATATATCAACATTTACATTATTCGGACTATTGTCCTCATCTTGCCATATTTATCACAACGTTTCGGTCGTTGTACGTTCCGTCTTTCTTCAGGTGGCTGGAATGTCGAACTGAACTCTTTATTTTGCTCGCTGGGGTAGACTTTTCTGGTCCCACATGTCATTTCTAATGGATGTAAGTTGTCTCCTGTTAATTCACAACTCCAAGTTCTCCACTTAAGGACACATGGCACAGTGGATAAATCCAGTGACAGTGTGAGTTCAATACCTTGTTAAGGCAGTGGAGAACTTGGAGAGGTGAATTAACTAAGTTTCAAATTAACAGTCACGTTTCGAGTTTCAATCTTTAAAATGGACCCCAAGTTTAACTTGCCCGTAAAAGGTAATGTTTAAAAGGTAAGAGAACACTAAAAATTGCAAATTAATGACGATTCTGGATGACTCCGATGCAGGTCATATAATTTGAAGATATGTTTCTTTTATTAAGAAAGAGGTTATGATGTTTTCAAGCTATGAAAATTATAGGCGTTAAAGCAACGAGGAAGTCACGAAAAGAACAAGGTGACGGATCCTAATTGAAGACCTACCTATAAATGGTCATGGTCATATTTTTTTCCTTATATGGAAACATTCGCCTTTCACTGACCGAGCAACCAGTTGCACTTTACGAACTGGGATCTAAGTGTAGTATCTGTTGTCTACATCTCTGATGGTATTAGTAATATTAACCGTTTCCTAATAAGGAAATATTCGACATTATTGGCCGAGTATCCAGTGCCACTTTCGTTTGAAATTTTTTAAATTCTTAAAACTATTTTTCAGGAAATTAGGATTTCTCAAGAGTCCAGTGACTTTTGACATTTCTTTCTAATACTGATGAAGGCATCCTTGCTAATCTTTTGTTTGAAGAAGTGTGAAATGTCAACAACATGACTATGTCATCATTTTCACGTGCTTTCCATTTTAGTTGTTACAGCTGTTGGAAGTCCTCAAGTGATGTGGTTTCTGTTTTTTTTTGTACAGTTCTTTATTTGTGGTTCTGTAGCGCCAGTCAAGGAAGTTTGAAGAAGTATGATTCTCGCTAAGACCTACAGGATTTATTCGTTCGAAACTATTTTTAACTATTGATCTGGGAAAGCATTTGTATACAGCTGACAGTTTAGATATTCTTGAACGAGTTTAACGACACGTCTGACCTCCATATGGAAGTCTCCATCTAATGAGAGACTGTTTAGGAACACCACTCGTGTTTTTAGCTTAATGTTATGGTTTTGTAGCAATTTGCTGTGTTGGGTGAAACTATACCTAGGTTCAGTTTCCTTATCTCCTATACTAAATCTGTTATTACTGCTCCATACGCCAATGTATTTGAAGTGCTTATGGAGAAAGAAAATCGAATGAAATGGACAAGAGAATCTATGAAGACTAATAAATGCTGTCCTGCTCTCAACCTTAAAATTATAATTTTAATCTCAACATATTTCATACAGTTCCATTAAACAGGTTAATCACGGGAAATTTGGAAAATCCGGGAAAATTCATCAAATTGTTGCCACATTGTAAGAATAACACATAGTCAACTATAATTGTTATATATTCTGTGAACTATCCAGCATGTTCATAGTGCAGATATTTCTGTGAATTCATTCGTCAGTTTTCTAGGAATGAGGAAAAATTGAAAATAGTTGTATAGTTCAGTGTATGGCCGACTGCGCAGCACATTCGATTTCAGAGCATTCGATTTCAGAGCATTGGTCAATTTGTCAGAGTTATGACTTCTTGGTGTTATCTGTCTAGGGAGGAGGCCACAGCGTTCAGCACTTTCGGGAAGTGCCTGAAAACCATACGACGTGTCGACCCAAGACTTATGTGTGTGAACTTAGGCATGGGAAGCTATTCGGAAGCCGTCGATTGTTGTGCAAGTCATCATGACTTTAGATCTGAGTGCACTTGCTTTGTTCAAACTGTTGAACATATCAAATGATATGCTTTCTCTCAGAACTTCTGAGAGATACAAAAAAAAAAAAAAGAAAAAAGAAAAAGAACTGTGCATAGTTTCAGTATAAACCACAAGTGGGCTCTGTGGATATTGAATAAGTTGAATATGTCTAATAGGAGAAAAAACAAATAGGAAATATTTATAAATCTAGTATGTTTTGCTTTTATTAAAGCTTTATCAGAGATATGGAAAAAAATTCTTATATTTCTATTTGTGTGTTGTTCGATTTTCATTGGTTAAGCCGACTCCACGTGCATTTGTCTTGTCAAGCAGCGTTCGTGTATATAATTTAGTGTATAATTTATGTGTTTAAGTGTATCATAATTCTAGTTTGTCTATGTGGAATTCAGATGATAATGCATATTCGGAAGTGTGTGTGTGTGTATGTCTAGTAGGTATTATTTATGTTTGGAGGTTGTCCGCAAGTTGATTTGGGGCCTTTTTTTACGTCAACACCGGTCGTGGCGGTGAAGTATACATTAAATTGTTTAAGAATGAATTTAATAAATGTTGTAGTGTTTTTGACGTCTGTTTATAGTTGGTAACATTTTATCTGGTCTTCCTCGAAGTATTTTCGACGTAAAGACTTAAATGTGTCTGAGCAGGCGTCTAGTATAGGGATTGGCTAGCCGCCCTATCAGACGGGTGTGCTCGGAAACGAGTAGCCGGGCATGATACCATTTTTATGCCGATATTATCAAAGTATACACTATCCTTTAAAATACACGCATAAATATACGAACAAGTTTTGTAGATTCATCCGACAGTGTCTTTTCGTTTATTTTTTATTATATTTTTTCAAATTATGGAATATGATGTTAACATTGGAATTGACATAGTGGATTAAGATAGTGGTTTAACATAGGGGATTAACATTGTGGATTAACATAGTGTATTAACATAGGGATTAATATCGTGAGTTAACATTGTGGATAAACCATCCGAACTTTATACTGTGTTCTGTTACTCTCTCCTTGAATCCTATTCTTTTATTGTCCTCCCTGTTTCTTTCACTCTCAATAACTCCTTGCATCTTTGGATTTTAGCTTTTTGCTTAGGCTGAAATTATATATATATATATATATATATATATATATATATATATACTTTATAAATTCAATTTATGACAAAAGCGATATTTTCTAAAAAGGAACGGCTAAATAAAGAGAGTGCTCGATACAATTTTCAAAAACGAAAATGTAGGGCAATTTAAGAAAGAAAATACTGAAAAAGCTGACCTATATGCTACCACGGTTTTTACCAGAATGATTTTATCAAGTAGTTGGTCTGATGAAACCATTTTGTTAGAAACCGTGACAACTACAAAGAATCAACATTATTTACGATTTCAAATGCGCCTTAAGAAACTGTGTTTCTGATCAAACCTAGCTCATAAATAATTACATCGGTCACACTACTACATGCGTATCCAGACGTCTTACGTTATACCTATCTGACCACAGCTCCATCAGTCCCCATTTAAATGCACACACAAACTTACCAGACTCTCACCGAAACATAATAGTAGAAAATACAAGCATAATAACCTTATCCCCATGTAAAAATGATAAAAATGATGGAAATCTTAATAATAAATAGAAAAAGCCAACACTCAATAATATTAACTACGAGTACGGCCATAATGTGCTGTGTTCGGAAAATAGAACATCCCTATAGCTCTAGATACATACTCACAACGTATACATCCAGTTAAAAAGTCAAAATAAAGTCATCCTTGATAATGGCTATATGTATAGCCGAAAGTGCTCGGAATTGCTGAACATTTGGACACTTTCTACAAACTCTGAGTCCAGAAAAGGAAACACTTGTTTGAACAAAGAAAAATTATATAAAAAGCTTAATTGCAGTACTTTGTCTGTCGTCTTTAATGAAACTTGTATATATATGTATGTATATATCTGACTCACTGTTTAGAAACGTCATAATTTTACTGCTAAAATTACTAATTGTAACCATAAGAATTATAGTGACAGTTTCTTTTCACTTGTGTAAATCTCTTCTGGCTTTTTGCTTTCCTGCCATTAAAAATTAAAAGCAATATTACTCGTCATCTTTTGTAACCCTTTGCATCTTAGTAGCTTTTATTGCTTTGCTTGTAATGAAATGATTTTTCCCTGGAGATCAGACGACATGAATTTAAACGTGTTACTAGATTAGCATCTAGGGCTCACCCTTTTAATGTTGAAATAGTTAAATGTAACCGCCACTCCTACTAAAACAGTTTATTTTTCGCCCTTCCAAACAGTGGAACACATTTCTGCTTACTTGCTTCCCTGATAACTACAATCTTCAAAAATTTAAATGCAACTTGAATCGCCATTTTCTGTTGATTTGAGCCCCGTTCATCTTTTATGCTTTCCTCAATTCCCCCAATACCGAGTCTTTTCTCCCACTTTCACTCTCTGTAACCCCCTGCGTGCTAGAGGCACTCACACCTTCTTTCTTGGTGTGAATTGATTAATATATATATATATATATATATATTTAAATATGAGGTACATTATTTAGAAACACGAAGACCATTTAGCAAAAATGAGTTCGATTTCTTACAATACCTCACATTGTGACCATGCTACAAACTCAATTATGTTTAGTAAATAACGGTATACATACATACATACATACATACATATATATATATATATATATATATATATATATATATATATATATATATATATATATGCACACACACACACACACACACACACATATATATATATACATTGAGACAAAAATTAAATCGTTGCATAAAAATAATTGTATTTCCTGGCATTCTAAGATAACTTGATGAAAATTCATTCTAATTACAGGAAGGTTCATTTTGTCTCGTTCTGAAGTGCAAACATGTGCTTCTTGTGTTTGGGTCAGCCACCACCCTTTTGCGGGGTTCTACACTGCACTGGCAAGATGATCCGGGGCACCTGTGAGCATGTGACTCTCGACAAAAGGTCAGCGATTAGGTTATCATGGGACAAAATTTAATGTCTGTTTTCGTAAACATAATTGTACAGCAATTTATCGAGTTGCGGCGGTCTTCGCATAGACATTAATCCACTACTGATAATTGAAAAATATATACCTCTTTTTTTTTTATATTCTTTTTTTCTGTGTCCCAGCCCCAGTCAGGCGGACAAGGAATCAGAGCGCATATATAAATATACACTGAACTTATAAATCAAACGCATTTCTCTCGAACACGCTTACACACGCACACACACGTACAACGACGAGATTAAACACTTCATTGTACAAGTCAACAATATGTGTGTGCGTGTGTGTGTGTGTTTGTGTGTGTGTGTGTGTGTGTGTGTATCTCTGTGTGTATACATATGCGTGTTCTCTCCCCAAATGAGATCAAATAGCTAAGCATCAGATTTATATTTTAAATGTCGTCTTCATCGAGCCGAGAATTTTTCAACAAACTTCATTTATGTTTTAGATTTATTTTTTTTTTTTAATATCTGATATTTTGCCATTGGATCAGATTCTGAAAGGTGGCTTGTCCGAGAACTTTACAACCACACACACACACACACACACACACACACATATATATATATATATATATATATATATATATATATGTATATGTAACCAAATATATGGATATAGATCCGACAGTATGAAGAAAAATATACGGAAAAAACAAACCAAAATCCTAATATGCAATTATGTCGTTTTAATGTTAATATAATATCAACGTCGGACGTTTCGGTCTAATAGACCATCTTCAGGACATATTCATAAAACATAATTAACATAGACCATATTCAATTCAACATGAAAAAGACGATGGACATAAAAGCAACATCGCCCACGTGACGACGACGTGATCATATTTAAACGGAACGCTGATCTTATAAAAGATTTCAGGTATCTGTTTGGATTGGTCTTGCGTGTCGTGTTGAGAAAATTTATTTTGGGACATTTTTTGCATGCTAGTAACGCTGAAAACCGTCTGGGCCATTAACACTGAATTTTTCTCGTCTGAAAACAACACTTTCTTCCATTTATCCACATCGCAAGTTTGATAATCGGAAGCAAATTGTAAACGGGAGGTTTTATGACGAAGAAGAAGACGAGGCCTCTGCAGCCTTTTCAAGTTCTTATTTAAATGCCGTCGAATTGTTCGAGAGCTGCATACAGCATCTGTATTCGCTTTTATCTGATTTGATGTTAGGCGTGAATCTCTCTTAACTTGCATAATCCATCTGTCTAGAGATGGTGAAATTTTATTGGGGCGTCCGCTTGATTTTTTAGAAGCATACGTATCTAGATTTTTAATGAAGTTAGCAATGACAGTTCTACTACGGCCAATTACATTTGCAATGGCTCGTTGCGAAAGACCACGTCTTTGAAGTTCAACAATCGTGTCCTTTTACCCATAGCCATTTTAAAATCTGAAATTTAATATTGGAAATGAGCTACGTAGATGTCTACACGCCTAAAGCTATGAGGACACTGACTAGTTCTAAAATTTTTGTCCAGTAATTTGTTTTTTTCACTTTATGACCAACCAGAAAAATCCTTTTTTCAATGTTTGTTTAAATTAATCAATTAAAAGCTAAACATTTTCACTTGTTTGTTGATAAACTACATTTTCTAATTAAATGTAAATGTTTCGCAAATATATTTTGATTAAAGTAATAGTAATTTATATATTTTTAACCCTTTTGTATCTGGTCTTAAAATTTTGACCTGGTATATATATATATATATATATATATATATATATATATATATATATATATATATGCGTATTAGTAGGATGTATAATAGTATCGGAAACAAAAGTGGATATGATGGGACAAAATGGAAAAGCTGTTAGAAGTGACAATGCAATTTCCATTTAATAAATGCCAGTCTGATCAGGAAAGAAAGTGTTCACTGATACATTGAGTGAGGACGCTAATATCACAATTCTTGACAATAAACCTAAGACCAGGATCATAAATAATATTATCGATCATCGCAATAATAGCACAATGCAGCACACAAGCTAATAGAGAACAAAAAACTGTCTGAGTGAGCTGATTTAAAATTCATCAAACATGAACAGCTATAGAGCTCGTGTAATGGTTAGAAAGCTTGTCTCACTAGACCAATCACTACTGAGTAGTGAGTTCGATCTTCACAAGATGTTCCATATTTTCGGCCTTGGCCCACATCTAAGTTACACTTAGAATAAAAACTAATATATAAAGACATTCTGGCTTCTAGTCATCGGATCTGATAAGGTAATTTATGGCCCCTCTTATCCTCAAAAATCCCATTTTTCCTGACACACAGTTTTGTGTTTCATACCGACCTGACACATGTCGGCGAAAACCGTCGTCAGTTAAAATAGATTTCCGGTTTTGTCCCATCATCTCCACACACACATATTTCTTTTTATTTTCATTGGACACGTGGCAGTCTTTGTGTTGGCTTTACCAATAGCTTGGATTGTTGCGTGCGCGTGTGTGTATGTGTGTATATATATATATATATATATATATATATATATATATGTAAATATATAGGGTGCGATGGGTAAATTGTCGATATTTTATATTTTTAATTCTGCGTATGCGTGCTGTTTTTTGATTTTGTCGGCTGCACAGTATAGTAGGGTCAGTTGGGCACCATCTGTGAGAAAAAGAGCACCATGACGCAATTCACTCCTCCAGAAACTTGGAAACGGAATGCTGTACTGCTTGGCATTCGCACCGGAAATTCTAATACGAACATTTTAGTATTTGGGTGTTAATCTGAGTATAGTGAGGAAGAGTTGGATGATTTATCCAGTCATCTTCATGGTATTTGGAATGATCCCTAGTGATGGCAACGTTATGTATCCATTCATCTTCCCACAAGGCCTCAGACTCAACACGGAGGCTTGCATCAAGTGGCTTGAGGAGTTAGTGATGCCCTGGGTGAAGAGCTAGGCTGCTGGAACACCTTATATCTGGCAACAGGACTCTGCACCATACCACACAATCAGGAGAACTCAGTCATGTCTGTCAGAAATTTCTACAACCACATCACCCCTTATCTGTCTTGCCCAGACTGCAACCCCCTTGATTATAATATATGGGGCGCAATTGAGCGAGAGACCAACAACACTTCTTGTAAGACTAAAGATGAATTGAAGGCAATAGTTATGGTAGCATTGACCAACTAAGTACATAGTCTAGGAAAGTTGCAGGAGATTTCGAAGTCGTCTGGAGATCGTGGTTGAAGCCAATAGCAATTTTATTGAATAATATTTCTGCAATTTTGGTAAATATATCTGTTAAGATGTGATGTCAGTGTTATTTTTATTTTTGCGTAATTTGACAACAATTTATCCATCGTGCCCTGCATATATATATATATATATATATATATATATATATATATATAAAAGGTAACAAATGCGTTGATATGTAATCCAAGTGTACCCTAGTTGTATAAAATATTAAAACTGATCCACAAAAAGAGCCCAATGTATTTTTTTTTTTAGCTTTCACAGTTAAATTACTATTTCTGACACGAATTCAGTCCACACCGGGGTTGATAAGACAGACGACCGATATCTTCGTCTACTGAAAATAAAAAGGGTATATTATAAGTGGCTGTATGGATAACGGCTCAGAATGAGAAATCGGAGAGCCGAGTTCGAATTCCAGTCGGGTTCGTTAAATTCACTAACGCGCAAATACCACTAGGAAAGGCATGAATCCATCTATTCTCCTCATCCCACAGCTATAGGATGAATATCAGGACAGGCTGAGTCGTATAGCCTCGGGTGGTAACTAGTGTACCGCAGAAACAAACAGCAGCATACTGCGAGAAAAAAAAAACCTGCCTCGTCAGTCATGAATCGAAAGAGAAAGATCACCCAAGCGTGTATCACGTATGACACTTAAGTAACTGACTACTATAATTAGGATATGCAGAATAGATGACCCTCTATATTTGAAGAGGTTTATAGATTTAACCATAAACTTGATGACGTTTATTACCGTATTGATCGGTGACGCTTATCCCCAAGAATCTCTTTCATAAACTAACACTTACTGGAAAAGAAGCTGTACAAATGGAACTTCGTCCTTGCCAATGGAATACGAAAGGAATGAGGACTGTGCATGCGGAGGAACTAAAAATGTAGCTGACCATTTACCTTGGAAATCACGATAGAGTAGCGATAGGCTAGTAACGTTTCTATTGTGTGGAAAAAGGTTGCAGAGTGAAAAATAATTTACCATGGAGATGATTTTGAACTCTGTCAAGGTTGGAAAATACGAATTGGACGGCTCCAGGTGAGACATAGAGCAACAAGACTCCATTTTCGGTTTAATCCGACACTTGTAAAGATAGATCATATTTGAAAGTCACTGCTTTAAAATCTGTCAACTTTAAAATTTCGTACAAGATATTTTCTCCGAGTACTGATGTGTTAACGGTTATCAATTTTAGATGAGAATGGTGAAGCTTCGGCTGTTGCTTTGAATATCTCAAAGGCATTTGACAGGGTTTGGCATATTTGTCTTCACAAGTTGAAAGGTTATGGTATTTCTGGACAATTGTTTGAACTGATTTAGTCTTTCTTATCGAATCGGGAAATGAAAGTTGTCTTGAACGGCCACTCTTCTAGATCTTTTTGTATTAATGCAGGCGTCCACCAAGGCTCTATCCTTGGACCTACTTTGTCCCTAATTTTCATCACTGAACTTCCTGATGACATAAGTGCTCAACCCGGTATCTATGCCTGATGGCACAATTATTTACTCTTATTTTAATTTTAAGTCTTATTGGTTCGATAAAGTCTATGACATACATTCTATTGTTAACAAGGGCAAGGAATGGCTTCTTAATTTTAACGCATCCAAAACAAAACTGCTCTTTGTTAATCGTCTCAGAGAACCCTTTTTACCGCCCCCCATCATCATGGCAAATGCTATCCTTCAGGAGAGTGACTTATTGCGCCTTTTCCGACTAACGCTTTCTGCTGACATGAAATGGAAAGATTCTATTGAATCAATTACTAAATCTGCCAGTAGGAAAGTTGGTTCAATGTGTCGTGCTAGACAATTTTTTCACCTGAATCTATCTATCTATCTATCTATCTATCTATCTATCTATCTATCTATCTATCGTACATATTTATACGTCTACCATTCGTCCTTGCTTTCAATATTTCTGTCATATTATGGTCTGGTGCTCCCGCTGTATACTTAGAGATTCTTTATAAAATCCAAAGAAGAAACTGTAATGCTATTGATTCATATCTGACATCTCGGTTTCAGTCACTTTCCATCTGCCGTAATGTAGCTTCCCTTTGCTTTTCTATAAATACTTTCATTGGAATTGTTTTGATTTTTCCTCTATCGTACCTAAACTTTATGAATTTAACTGCAATGCTTGATTGGCCGCAAGGTCTATATCATTTTACAGTTGAAATGGCTAAATAGAATCTTAAGTTCTATGCTAGCAGTTTCTTCTATCGCACTTCTTGCTTGTGGAACTCTTCCGGCTTATTGTTTCACACTCAACTTCGTACTTCACAACTTTAAGTGCAATGCCTATCGTTATCTTTTATCTTCCTAATTCTTGTTCATTTATTATTCTCTCTTCTTATCAGTAACTCCTTGCGTCAGTGACTTTATTGCCTTGCTTGTGGTGAAATGATTAAAAAAAGAAGAGAACATCTTCAAAGACGAATCACACTGAATTTGCATCTCTTCTCTTAAGTGATTAAAGTCTACAATCAATTTTGATGACTGTCACGTCACGAACCTTTAACCCCTTTGGGTCGTAGGGTCACCATAACAGCAGTTGTGTGTCTTGGGCGAGATAACCTGATGGAGCCCATCACTTTTCAGGCTGTTTGTGGATTTAGAATTTTCCTTCTTCGAAACTGTTTGTCACCTCATAACAAGGGAAACCAGGCAGTCTTGCTGTTTAACCCATAGCTGGATTAATATGGATTCATGCCTTTTACAGGTTCATTACCGCGAAGGGAACGAAACAGAATCCAGCGGAAATTGAACTCGGCACGCCGAATTCCCTTTCGGCGTCGATAACCGTTATACTACAATGATAGGAAACACATCTGGAAACACAGCTGAATCTTTCTCTCGCTAAAAGAAATGGATTAGACTTTTATACTTATTCATAATGAAAATTATTATTTACGAAGCGATGTTGAAAAGTTCCCAACCCATGCCCCCGAAGTTTGACTAAATGATGAAACATCAAATTTAAAAAAAAATCATTTCTTGCTCTGTCGTATTATTGTTTAAAATAAATGGTTTGACTTAACCGAGTCAAGAACTTTTCAGCATATATAGTATTATGGTTTAAAATTAAAGGTTTTGCTTTGAGTTTGTCTTTGTTTGCAAGTGATTGCATATCTGGAACACTTTGCAAACTGTTTGTCGACTCCTCCTCTTGAGAATCACCAATATATGTATGTATAATTTAAGCCATCAGAAAGAAAAAAAAAGAAAGAAGAGAAAATGAAATAAATAAATAAAGAATGAATGAATTAAATAAATAAATAAATAAATGAATAATGAAAGAAAGAAAGGAGACAAAAAGAAAAGAAAGAAAGAAAGCAATAAAGAAAGACAGAGCGTAAGAAAGAAAGAAGGTAAGAAAGAAAAAGTAAGGTAGAAAGGATGAAGATAACGAAAATAAAAGAAAGAATGAAGGAGAGAAGAAAATAAGAAGAGTGAGAGGAATTGTAAATTATAATCACATGGCCACACATAAATGCATACACATTCAGACAAGTGCATACAAACATACACATATATCATGTGATACATACTGATGAATTTAGTCAGTATAACGGAGACATCATTACAAACTTGCTCAGCGGCTAGTGCGTGTTTGTGTGAGTGTGGGTGTGTGTGAGGTGGGATTATTTATTGCGTAAGATGGAGACGCATTTCCCACCGACGCGTACCATGAGAGCTAATGTTCGAACCGAGGTAAAAGTCAAGATATCAAATGCTGATTTTCTATGCAGGTAAGTCAACAACCCATTTGGAAAATTGTTGCAACACAAACTTGACACATTTCTTTCCATTCTGTTTTGTGCCAAGCTTAGAATCTATCTATCTATCTATCTATCTATCTATCTATCTATCTATCTATCTATCTATCTATGTCTGTTTGTTTCTTTCTATCTATCTATCTATCTATCTATCTATCTATCTATCTCAAATAATTCATTATCTCTAATCTATCTATCTATCTATCTATCTATCTATCTATCTATCTATCTATCTATGTCTGTTTCTATCTATCTATCTATCTATCTATCTATCTATCTATCTATGTCTGTTTCTATCTATCTATCTATCTCAGTTTGATCATTATCTTTATCTTTTACTATCTTTCAGTCAATATAGATCCTAAGAATCACCTCAAGGTAGAGGGTTACTGGATGAGGTTGCTTTATGAACGTAAAAGGAAGAATTAAGAAGTGCAGATTAGGAGGATATGTAGGATAGATACCAGTTGACCAATAACTTGAAGAGGATAAAATTGTACTGATCAGGGAAGCATACTCTCGGGAGACTTTTCCACAAATCTATCTATCTATCTATCTATCTATCTATCTATCTATCTATCTGAGTAAGTATATGAAAGTGCATTTTTGTGTGTTATAAAGACATTTCTTGTAGTCCCACGTTCACATTTACACTTTTATATAAAAGCGAGATACACCCCTTTAATTCTATAAAGGACGCACATATACTCAAGCCTATGTGCCTGTGTACAGTAAACGGATACACAGTTACTGACACGCCCTTGTACAAGCTCCACGATCATGTGCACCCTCGTACACACGTGCTTGTTGTCTGCTTTGTCCCAATTCCCCAACTTATACAACACATAGACTTTGTCGCAGTGAAACAGAGGCTCAGATATCATGTCCACGTGACACGCATCACTCTAATGACCATTTACAAAGTTAAAAACAAAACTCCCTGCTCTTCAGAACATTCTAGAAAAAAAAATAATCAGGGGAAACAATAGCATAAAAAATGGGAAAAGCTGCGTGTGTTTTATTTAAACAAATCTCTATCTATAAAAGGCAGGAGGTGTGTGTGTGTATGTGTAACGAATGCACGGCCGCAATTTTCGAAGGATTTGCACCAAAATTTACATGCACATGCTCCAAGTTAGCGGGAAGGCCAAGAACGATTTTGCATTTCCCAACTCCAATCGATAGTGAAAATAATCGATTTTTTTATGCTTCTACGGCGGTTTTCATGTAGTTTGCGGCCATTTTCTACCTGCTAGAGTGAGAGCCTATAGCTGGCTGCCACGAATAGGCAGGAAGATTCTATTGTCCAGAGTGAGAGCCAACAGCTAACTGACACGAATGTTAAGTAGCATGCAAAAAAATTCGATAGCTGCATTCGTCACAAGTGGGAAAAATTTAAATCTGCATGGCACTTTACTCCCATTGGCTCATTCGTTTGCTTAAACTCAACGTTGATTCTGATTCCGCAGAACTGGGTTGGGTGTGAAAAAGTATTTGTTGTTAATATTCTTTTTTCATTCGGTTTTTCCAGTTATGACTCCTTTTTTTAAAGCTGATCGTTTTGTGTTCATTTTGTTTAGTTCTTTTTTCGTAACAGATTTAATGTTTAGTATAGAGCTTAGAAAAAATTCGCAGTGTGAGATAGGCAAGAAGTAAGGCATGTAGCAACATCAGCACGGCAAAGGGCACTCCTTTAAAGGCAAGGAAGGGCAAAAATATTTTAAGTCAAGTGATAGCGATTGCTGTATGAGTCGTACGATTTTTGAATCAAGCCCGGGCAACGCCGGGCCATGCTGCTAGTATATTTTAAAACTCGGTAAAAGTGATATCTGTCTGAATTTCTATGAGGAGAAGTTTTTATTATTTAGACGTGGACTCTTCTCATCTTTATTGTTTCGGCCGTCGTGTTCACCGACCTTCATCTGGTGCTTGTCAATCCGTGTAACCTTCAGGAAAAATGAACCCTTTATTTAGTAGATTGTCCTTATTCCGCTATCCATCTGATGAAACAGGGAAGGCACAATTGTTGAAACGTTGTGATAATAAATACAAAGATGAGGACAATAGTTCGCGTGTAAATAATCGATAAAAGTGATTAGGTTTTGTTTCTATTGATTTTGTTTCTATTTAGATTAGCTCTGGCCCAATACCATAAATATAGAGCACTTAGTAAATTATAGCGGTTCGTTGACGCTTTTCCAAATGGGAATGCCCAGATGTTATTTTTACAGAGTAGGTGGAGAGCAAGCTGATAACTTTTCAAAGAAGCTTCAAAAGAATGCGTTTCGAATATTAAGATATATTAGCAACCTTGCTCAATATGAGTATCTTCTTCTTTTTCTATGTGCAGTGTCCTTTCAAGACGTTGGCGATCATGGCTCTCCACAATTTCTTTTGTAGTTCATAATAAATTTTGTCTTTGTGTTATCTCTCTTAAACCGCCATTCATTTACTCAAGATCACAAAGTGTCAGTGCATTGCTTTCCTCTGTTTCTATTGCCTTCAATCTGTCCTTGTGAGTATCAAATTTTCCAAAGCTTTTTACCTCATTACTTGCCCTAGAAATTTTAACTCTCTCTTCCTGATGTTAAGTAGAAGTGTTCTTTTTGTTAGCATTTTCTCTAAACCTTTGTCATTGCTCACATTTTTGATCCATGCTATTCTCAGTATCCTTCTGCAGAACCACATTTCTGTTGCCTCAAGTCTGTTCTTCATTTTTGACGAGATTGTCCAGCACTTACTGCTATATAGGAAGTCTGATATTACATAATAGTTCAGTAGTCTTTTCTTTGTTTGTAACGAAATTTTCGTGTTTCTTAATACTTTTCTTAGCTTCTTGAAGGCATCTTTCGCTATCCTAGTGTGTCTTCAGATTTCTGTGTCGCACTTTCTGTCTTCTGTTGAAACACTTCCCAGATATTTAAGTTGTTGTACTTGTTTGATTTTGGTATTTCCAATTTGTAATTTGAATGTTGGGTTGTCCCTTTTGCTAACAACCACGGGCATAAGTGAATAATAATAGTCTGTCTTTATTATTTTATGAGAATTTGGATTTACATGAAACAATTGCACTATACAGTTATCTTTTATTAAGTGTAAAACGTGAATAAATGATAGGGATCTGTTAATCCAGGGACTGGGAGGTGCAAAGAACTGTTTGCCCCACTCCAACAGATGGTCATAGCCTATACCTGTTATACCTAAACAAATATATTTAAAACTAGATAAAGATGATTTGATTTTGTTATTGGTTCATATTTACTAAACTTATGCTAGTCATGATAAAAGGTCACAAGTGAATGACAATTGGTGAGGATCGAACCCACTACCCAAGGGAAGACTTCAAGTTTGTTAACTCCAGCTCCGCAACGACATACGCAAATTATCGCACAGCCATAATAATGATATATATTTAAAAAGTTTATCGTTGTTCCTCACTGCACAATTCTACTCTTATATGAATTAAAGGATTGTCCATATTTTGCAGTATTATAAGCCTTTGTAAAAGCCAAAGACTGCACCTTTTCTCCTCGCCATTATATATTTTCTCTTTCTCTTTCTCTCTCTCTCTATCACTTTCCACGATATTTCTAGTCTTGCTCCTTTATTTACGAATAATATTTTAAGTGAACTGTATTATTTGACATTATTTAAAGTCAAGTTGTAGTTATAAAACCTTCGCTTCCACTCTCTTCCACTCGAACCAATATAGTACTTTAGTTGGTTATCATGTTTAATATCAGCTCTATATACAATATTGTTAATTAAACATTTCCATTTCGGCAATTACATTTTCTTTTTTCTTTGCCATTTTATTGATATTATTTTTGCCAATGTTGTATTTATCCAGCAACTTTATACTATGCTTAGATATCAGTTTTTTATTCGTACGCAACTATAGCTTACTTTTAAGTTATTTCTGTTGAATATCTTCTTTAGTGTTGAAGAACTTCTGAAAGTTTAGCGAAGGTCTTTGCTATATTTGTTATTACGTTGTGGTTGTAAGAGGAGTTAAACCATAACCCGTTATAGCATATATTTTTATTCTTTATATTTTTACTTCGCTGTATTCCAGATTTACTTCATGTTTAATGTTTTCCAGGGTTTTTAAATATCTTATTCTCGCTTTTTTGAATACGTCTTTATTACTCGAGTTGGCAGCATCGGGCGGTAAGGAACAACGATATAATTTCTTTAACAAGCGTTTTCTCTCTGTTTCTCCCCCTCTCTCTCTCTCTCTCTCTCTCTCACACACACACACACACATATATAATTATTTATTAAGCTTATTCTATCTAAAGCACCGCAGGAAACAAAACCACGATACCGAGAAATTTTTCCGCATGAGTGGCGTACTAATTACTGCATGGCGATAAGATCGAAAGATATTTTTAAGCGTAACTTAGTCTTACACAAGGCTACATAGATAGTGCGCCCACTAAAGATAAATAAAAGAATTGCTTACTAAGATGAGCTTGCCAATCATCACCACAGGTCGCGGCACTTTCTATGTGAATGTATGAATGTGTGCATGCATGTATATATGTATGTACTTATACGGTATGTATGTATGCAGTCTGGGGTGCTACTCTTCACGTGCAGCACCGTTAGAAAGTGCCTGAAAACAATAGTCCTGTTATGGAGTGATTTCACAGTGGAGGCTTGTATTTGTACTAAGTCGGCCCTAAAATAGGTTCGACGTACAAAACGTTAGGAACTTGATATAATAGGTAATGACGCAGAGTAAATCTAGTTGTGGTCGCTGATACTTTAGTATCCGACTAACGGTCGTCCGGCATCGACTGACTGACCGTCTTCACTGAGCGACTTTTCTCGTTACTCTTACTACTCCTACTTATTATAGGTGGGAGAGTCTATCAACTATAGAATAGGTGTGTTCCACTATAACAAGTCCACGGGTTGAGCCAAGCCTTTTGAGTGAAACTAGGTAGACAGAACTGTTTGGAAGCTGTCGATGATTGTGCTAGCACGAAGTCACAAGTCATCGTGACTGAGGCTGTGAGTGAACTGGTATTTTTCAAACTGCTAATCATCTAAGATTACGCAATTTCTCCCAGAAACTGTAAGGTGTTGACCAAACAGAAATGTGCTTGAGCAGTCGTCAACAACAGGGACTGGCTAACCGTCCTAGTAGTGTTTCCGGCCATTATATATGATACGCGTTGATTTAGCCTTAAAAATGTTGTCTATATAGATATAGATATATCAATATCTTTCGACCTCAGTCGAGATCATAGTTCACAAACCCCCGCCAGTACTCACGGTTCTGTATAACTACCTTTACTTCTTCCCTCCTTATCCCAGTGACCCCGCTAAAGACATCAAGGAATGTTAGTTTCTTCTTCTCCTGCCCTGAAATTGAGGTTTCCATTCTCTGCTCTATAACAGTGGATCACAAACTGGACTCTCCGAGATTTCACGAGATAAAAGACAGGACATACGTTGCCTTATATCATTTCTCTGGTATTTCCGGGAAAGTATTTAGCTCACCGTAGAAGGCTTTTGTAGGTGCAATCTAATCTTTTCACTAGTTTGTCTAACATTATCCATGATTCATAGTCAT